GTCTCGAACATTCTTTGTTTTAAGGCTACTAAAGTAGAAAAACAACCTTTTCATCGTCTTCTCTCTGCAAACTAAATATGCAAATCGCCATACGCATATACTTTTCCTTTGTACTACGTGCTCACACAGGACAACCACTAACTTGTGGAAAAGCCATAACAATTTTAGTCTTCTGTATTAGATAAGTTAGAAGAAAAAAGATTAAAAACTAACTTGCTCAATGCAAATTTTAAACAAAAAAAAATATTACCTGTAAATAGAAAGTATTCACTATAAGCGCCACCTACTCATGTCTACTTTCTTTGACGCCTTTCCCTCGTTATAATTGACTGTGCCAATCTGTTGCGCTTTAAGTTCTCAAGCACCGAGTTAAGCTAGACTGTCAGGTAATTTTCAGTGTATGTTCACGCGGGTGTAATATAGTAACAGATTTGTGTATGAAGGCGAGAATGCTGGTCTGAAAACGATATGCTTCAATTATTTTTTTTTCTCTTCAATTATCCTTTAGTATTTATTTAGATATATTTATTAAAAAGAATAGCTTTCAAATTTGCTTTAATAAGATTGTTTAATACTGCAGTTACTGTTTGGTTTATTATTCAGTATTCATTTATTAGTAACTTATGACGCATTAGATATAATTAGGTACCCCACCAAAAAATATTTACCTAATGTTTAAATTGCATTTTTTAAAAATCCTGAAGCTTTTTTTAGTTTTAATTCCAAGCTAATAGATTAAATTTAATATTTCCAATAAGCAAAATATTTCGAACCGAATTTAAATTGATTGGAATGACTTTTTCTTCCGATTATCAGTAAAATCGATGAAATCGTCCATATTGATAAATCTGTCAACACAACATAATTATCTTTATGAAAACAAATCTTTCAAAAATATACTTTCCTGAAACGTTATTTGAGGAAAAATTAGCTGATTTAAAAGATTAATTAACCTGAATTGAAACAAATATTAATTAGTTTTAAAATATCACAGAAAAACATTTAACACTGAGGTGGGTGGATTTATGAGGTATTAGCAACTTTATCAACAGCCTGGCATTTTGGGGAAATTTATCTAAGAGATAATTGTCATAAAAGTACATGAAGAATACAACGTAAACGCCTTTTTCATGTTTTTCTCAATTACCCAGTAAATATTAGGCATTCTAATATTTTATTGAATTTTAGCGCCTTCAGCTTTATAGTCTAACTTACGAAGACGTTTGTTGAGAAAATTTTAAATATCAAATAAATTTTTAAATTTATTATAGTTACTGCAGTTAATCTCTAATCTCGCGTATGAACGTTCGTATTCACACAAATCAGACACAAACAATTTTTTTTTTTTTTTTTTTTAAATACTGAGGGTGCTGAATTTTAATAAGTTTTCCATTTATGGTTAGTAAATACAGTTTTTTTTATTTAATAACAATATCACTTGACTGCTAGAAGTTAATACTGCATTTAAAAGTTAAGGGCAAACATGTATAAACGTGTTCGCAATAAGATATTGTTTCAAAAGGACGTTTTTTTTCCCCCCAATGACACCGCGCTTTTTTAACTACTTTCACTCTTCGGTAATGTTTGTTTTTAAAAAGCTATGATTTCAATTAGAATCAAACCTAAACATATGATGAAAGTATGTGTATATATATATATATATATATATATATATATATATATATATATATATATATATATATATAAATACAAAATAAATATTAAACGCTATTTACATTATTCGGACTATTGTCCTCATCTTTTTCGCCATATCTATCACAATGTTTCGGCCGTTGTACGCTCCGGCCTTCTTCAGGTGGTTGGAATGTCGAACCGAACCCTTTATTTCGCTCACTGGGGTAGACTGTTCCACGTGCCATGTTTGATGGATATCAGTTATCTCCTGTTAATTTCCCTCTGAAAGTTCTCCACTGCCTTAACCGGGCATTGAAATCACACTCTTTGGGTCCTGTCACTGGATCTAACCAACGCCTTTATCCACTGTGCCCTGTGTCCTTGAGGGTATGAATTTCTGGGTATTATAAACCTAATGTCTTCAGCAACCATTTTTACCGGAGCTCATATTGCAACTATGTTATCATTGCTTTCCTCTGGCACTCCTTATTACTGGTTCCCATATTGTATTTATCTCTATGCAAGCATAGAGATAAATACAATATGATAACTGACATCCATCAGACATGGCACGTGGAACTAGAACAGTCTACCCCAGTGAGTGAAATAAAGGGTTCGGTTCGACATTCCAACCACCTGAAGAAGGCCGGAGCGTACAACGGCCGAAACGTTGTGATATGGCGAAAAAGATGAATAGTCCGAATAATGTAAATAATGTACATAATACCTCATCTCAGAAATATAGACAGACTTTAAACGCTATTTCTTTATTAGATTGTTTATTTACTTTAAGAAAGACTCTCATTCGTAGACACACTGTCAGGAAATAGGGATGAAACGACTTGAGAATATTAGACTGTGCTGAATGAACGAAGCGTGTGGATGCTATGGGGGCGTCCCCAACGGACGACCTTGTCTCATCTCTTATGGATTTTTTTTCTTTTCTTTTCAACACGTTTCTTGTAAATTGCAAACCTCCTTTTCTGTGTTTGGCCTTAACTGATTCCTTTTAGTTCTGGGTTTAAAAGCAGACCAATCGGTGGAATACGGAGTTCGACAGTGTCAAGAAATCGCCAGTATTCTTCATAGAATGGTTGCAAGTGGTGAGTATAAAGAAGTTTCATTTTTCTTTCTCTTATTTTGAAATTTATTAGTACAGTGTAACCCGGATATAAGAGTTGTCGGGACCGGAGAAGAAGTCTCTTATATCCGGGTTTCTCTTATATCCGGGTTACACTGTATTTAGTGATACGATGAATTTGGGTTTTTTTCTTCCCCCTCCCTCAAAAACTAATCTTCATATTTTTAACGTATAGAAACCTAAAACGTTATTTTCTTTTTTTTTCTTTGCACACTGGAAACTCGACTTATATTGTGTATAAGTTATTTGTTCGCTTTACTTCCAGATCTGTTAGGTTTTTTGTAGCTAACGTAAAATTTGAAGTTAAAAAAACAAAAAAGAAACAATTAGTAATATAGTAGTAGTTCCTAATCAAACTATATTTTGTAGTCCCTCCATACATCTCGGGCTTAGTTCCCACCGAAAATGGAAAACTGATGATATATATATATATATATATATATATATATATATATATAAAATATGTGTATTGGGGCAGCAGATCATTATTTAAACATTATTAAATATAACAGACAATGATTGTCTAACATTTAGATATTTTTTTTCATTAATTTGGTCCAAGGCTTTTGGCTTACATGAGCCATCCTATGTTATAATACTTCAGTCTATCGCCTGGTATGACGTCATAGAACCGCCCCTTGAACTTACGATCTGCGTCTGCTATTCTGCGACCGTTGACGTCGCATAACAATTTTCTATAACAAAATACCACCTTTGACGATGGATATCTTTGTTTCATGTTTGTATAACCACTCTTAGGTTGGCTCATATATGCCTAAAACTTAAGAACAAACTTTGTCTTTATTTTCACCAGTTCTTTTAATACTATGGATCTTATCTTTTGATGAGAAACTTTTTTTTTTTCCGAATAAAGCCTCACGAAATGTCAAATTTTGACGATAAGGCGAATCCGTATTTTTTTTTTTTTTTTTGTGAGTGGGGTGGGGGTGAAAAATGTGACAATCTGGCTTACAAATGTGCCTTGTCTGTTTTAAAACGATTTAATTTCAGTTTTCCTCTGACAATGAATATAAATACAGTATATAAAAAAAAAGACATTCCCTCAGCGTCGATCCGAAATACGATTCTGATAATGAATAAATAATCGTACATCATACTGAGGGGTCGTTGTGTGTCAGTAACTTATTTATAAAATCGTAAGACGAAATAGTTGGGAACGCGTCGGTCCGACACTTGTGTCGCGCGCGTGAACATTAAATCAATAAAGCGTGAATAAAAAAAATTATTAGAAATATAATAAATTAAATATCTTGACATTCTCTGCTATAAGGGAATTTTTTTTTTTCCCATTTAGCATAAATTTTATAAAACATGTATTGTCGATCGCTTTGTTAGGTGCATTGAATAATCCAATGCTTTCATAGATTTTTTTTTTTTTTTTTTTTTTTTTTTTAAATCAAAAACTGCGAAAAAAAAATAACTAAATGTCATGGTTCATTCTTGAAAAAGATGAGTAGTTTCCTATTGCGTTCTTCACGTTTTGGTAATCAGTTTTCCTTCTCTTAGACTAGTTGCCATCCAACGAGAGATCTGTCTTGCTATTTAACCTATAGTTTGGAGGAGACAAGACTGGTTCAAGGGCATCTGCGCGAAATTGAATACTGGTGGTTAAATATAAATTTGAACTCTGCACGCCAATTTCACTTTCCGTGACGATGTCCTTTGTATTAAAGTTTCACTTTCTAATATTAACGTTTATATTATAAACTAGCTTAAAAACCGCCCTATCGGGTAGCATTTAAGTTAGCTCTTATGGAGAGCCTTTGATTGGGCTCTCCATCACAATAGGTAGAGAGGAATAGATGTGATAGGCAACGATAAACTACAGCAGGACTCATAATTGATCGCTGTATTTAAGTATTGCATTAATATTTAAGCTTACCTTTTTAAAAGTTCAACTATAATTCTTCTGTCGTCACTTAATTTAAAGACAATTTGATGTACGTAGGTCCTTACTTTCCATACAATTATTTTATTTCACGGGTGACTTTCGTTGGATTTCGCAATTTGATTATTCCCAAATTTATTTCCAAGTTATAAAAATCGTTATCGTCCAAAAAATTTGTCGCAAAAAATCATGTGGGGGGAAAAAAAAATCGCCGAAAACAAGTAATGAAAACTTGGGAATCCAAAATTTCAGGATTGCGGGTCCAGATCTGATCAAGAATGTTTTTAATTTTCTCGTGGAGTCTCCCTGATATTAAAATTGTATATGTTGGGCTACGGCCTTTTTCCTGGGTAGGACGATAAACTACATCCGCGTTCAGGGTAAGACGATAAACTACGTCCAACATCAAGGCCTCTGATCAGAAGGCTTTGAGGAGCGCAGAACCACCTCTTAATTACTGGTGTTCCCAGGTTCACCCTGACCCGGGGTGGTAGCACCTGTTAGGGTCCCAGCTATAGGCAAATAGCTAACTCCGAAACTGAAGTAAAAAGCATTATGAAAGTGTAAAAATAGGTTTTAATACCAGAAAAACTTTGAAAAAAAAAAAAAAAAAAAAAAAAATTACCAGAAATTTTTGAAGAACAAAAAAACTTACCAGCTATACATTTTTAAGAAAAAAAATATTACCAGAAATAGATTTTTGACAAAACAAAATATTACCAGGAAAAAAGTTGTCAGCATTAAATGACCCATTAAGGTTGATATGCCGTAAACCAAACCAAACTGGCTTTAGGGGGTAAAAGTGGAAAAAGTGTGACACACTGGCATTTATTAGAGATATGTTATCTATCTCTTTATAAAATAAAATGTATACTGCAGAATAGTCTTCTTTTTATTTGACCGTTTTGTTTCCGGGTCATATTTCCAACACTGCTAGTCTCTCATTTTATCTTTTTACTTACTAATTTATTTATTTGTTACTTTTTCTGTCTCACTTGTTCTGATTGTATAAGACTATTATAAAATGTAATTTATCTTAACCTAAGAAACCTTTTATCAAATGTACGTATGACAAAAAATTATTTTTCTTTCTTTTTCTTAGGTCATATATTTGTGTCACCGGAACATGTAAAAGACCGTTTGGAGCCAGGAATTTGGTGAGTATATTTTAAAGCTCCCTATTAAGTTTTTTTTTTTTTTTTTTTTTTTTTTTTCTAAAACATCGTAATTACAATATTGAAAAAATATATAAAAATAAGTACCTTCAAAGAAACTCAATACTTAAGGATCAAAATGAATTTTAAAACATGAACAATTTTTCTTGAAACTTTTTTAGTTATAATTTCAAGCTAATAGATTATATTTAATTGTTCCAATGATTAAAATGCTTCGCTGTATTTCAGAACTAACTTAAATCGATTGAAACACGGTTTTGGTGTTTTTAAAATCACAAAAAATCGTTTTTTAATCATCTGTCAGCACAATTTAATTCTCTTATATTAAAAAAATAAAATGTTTCTGAAACGTTGATTCAACATTTAATTAATCTGCTTTGAAAGAAATATTACTTAAAATATCGCACAAATGCAATTTCTAACCCGGAAGTAGGAATTTAAGGTTATTGAAAGCATGATAGCCTTGACAACCGGAAACCTATAGCGTTATTAAAAAAAAAAAAAATGAACCGATTTCATTATGCAATATTTTAATAAGGAAAAGCAATAGAAAACTCCAGCCAAGTCACAAGTATTCTACTCACAAAATTCCATAAGTTTATTGTGAATAGAATTCTCAAAAGAAAACTTACATGATTAAATGTGAATTCACATTTAAAATCAGTTATTGGAACATCCTATATTTCATGTCTTACAAATGTTCAATGTGGCCACCACCAGCAGCACGGGCAACATCAATGCAATAAGAGAATTCCTCACAGACGCGTATCAGTATATCACGATTCACTGAGTTCATTACTGTTATTATTCAATGTTTAAGGTCATCGAGGTTAGTGAGTAGCGGTGGGGCATATAAACTCGATTTTTTACGTATTCCTACAAGAAAAAAAATCACACACGATGAGGTCTGGGAATCTCGCAGGTCAGGCACAAAGAACAAGGTCTTGGTAAGTTCCTGAACGAGGCGTAGTCCGTAAGGTTTCAAATGTAAGCGTCTTAGCACACGCCAGATAGTGGATGAAGAGATTGTAAGCTCACGGCTCGCTCGATTTGTGGACTTCAGTGGACTCTCCTCAAACGCAGCACAGATACTCGCCACTTGTTCCATCGTAACTCGTTGTCGTCCTGGACTTTTCCTTTACACAGACACCTACTCTCTTGAAACTGTTTAAACCACCGTCGAATGTTCTTAGAAAAGGGCAAATTAATGTCGAATTGCCTTCGAAAAACAAGCTGCACCGTGGCAACCGTATTTGTTTTCGAGAACGCAGAACGCCTTTCGCTGAGGACTTGCCATTCTGGAGGTAAACAAAAAAACTGAACGTTGCCGGAGATACGACGCGACTACAGCGCCCCTGTGGCAGCCATTCAAAACTTGTAAAAAAAACTCCTCTATCAAATAGTCACTAATTCCATGGCGATGCTTGAGAACTGAAGCAATGAGTCATGAAACAGGTTCATTCTTTTTTAATAACTGAGATATATATATATATATATATATATATATATATATATATATATATTCCCAATTTCACTTATCCCTGTTAGAGCATCAGTCATTAATCGTGAGTAAACAACGCAAACAGAAAAATAGTGTTCCCGCGTACAAGTTAAAGCTTAAACTAGCATTACTTTTTTCCCTCTGACAAACCCTGTCTTACCATGACAGTTAGTCTACATTTTGATCTACGGAAGCCAACGGTTTCACAAGACCAAATTTAACACTATATTAGCTCCCCACCCCATATTTTTGTTATTTTAACTATTTAGCATAGTCTGTCATAGGTTAATGGTTTTACTTTTCTTTTCTATATTTCGGACCATCTTCCTGGTTTCCTGTACATGTTTAAATACAAACTTCAAATGTATAGATAATTTCGGTTTGCATAAGCCATTATTATGGACACTTCGGCGTGGTGTAATTGTTAACAATCTTGTTTCATTAAATCATTTACGACTGAATTGTGAGTTTGATCTTCAATGTTATAGTGGAACACACCTATTCTATAGACTCTCCCACCTATAATAAGTAGGAATCGCTAAGTCGCGCAGGGAGTTGTTCAGTCAGTCGATGTCGGACGACCATTAGTCGGATACTAAAGTATCAGCGACCACCACTAGATTTCTCTGCGTCAATACCTATTATATCAAGTTCCTAACGTTTTGTACGTCGAACCTATTTTAGGACCGACTTAGTACAACTACAACCCTATACTGTGAAACCACTCTACAACAAATGTGTGCTCCATACTTTCGGCCTTGTGCCACATCTTTTTTTTTTTTTTTTTCTTATGTCGGTTTCATGATTTTTCAAATATAGGTTCTGTGCGTCTTCACGCGATAGTTCGTGTTTTTAACGCGTCGTTTCTTGTACGATCACCGAAGTTAAGTAACGTTGAGTCTGGTCAGTTCCTCGATGGGTGACCGATTGGGAATACCAGGTGCTGTAATCTTGGATGTACGTGGCGTAATAGATAACGGCTCGGTTCAAATTCCAGTCGGGTTCGTTATATTGCCTTACGCGCAAATACTCCTGGCAAATATATAAATCCACCTCTTATCCCCCAGCTATGGAGTAATTAGCAGGACTTGTATCAGTAAATCATTATCTAAAAAAAAAAAAATTCTTATAGTCTAAAAATATTTTGACACCTGTAAATACTTGACAAACCGTAAAAAAAAAAACAAAAAACGAATGAATCAATCGTGTTTTTATTATATATATATATATATATATATATATATATATTTATATTATTGTGTGTATATATGAATTATTATAAAATAAACATTGACTATCGCGTGAAGACTAAAAGAAGCGATAATTGAAAATTATGAGACCCTAGACATATTCACTGCTTCTACGGTTGCAATACATGAATGCCCCTCGTAATCGTTGGAGAGTGAGGAAGTTGAAGGTAACGGCATATGTCGGCTTGTCACTCAAGGATATTGTACGGATTCAGTACGCTGGGGTTTTCTGTTAAGCAAAATAGGGGTCAGGTTTAAGTAGTAACTATAAGGTGTATCGAGAAAAAAATGGTAGCATTATGCCAAAATGTGTGTATTAATTTAAAAAAAAATCTTAAGACGTAAGCACCAGCTTAGAGTAATGGATGAAAAACTTACCCGAAACTTGTCCCTCTCTTTCCCGCTAATCCATGTAGCAAGATTTCTTGTCCCTCTCTTTCCCGCTAATCCATGTAGCAAGATTTCTTGTCCCTCTTTCCTCTAATCCATTCAAGCTTAATCCATGTAGCAAGATTTCTTGTCCCTCTCTTTCCTGCTAATCCATGTAGCAAGATTTCTTGTCCCTCTCTTTCCCGCTAATCCATGTAGCAAGATTTCTTGTCCCCCTCCCCCGCTAATCCATGTAGCAAGATTTCTTGTCCCTTCCCGCTAATCCATGTAGCAAGATTTCTTGTTCTTTGTCCCTCTCTTTCCCTTTCCTAATCCATGTAGCAAGATTTCTTGTCCTCTCTTTCCCGCTAATCCATGTAGCAAGATTTCTTGTCCCTCTTTTCCCCTAATCCATGTAGCAAGATTTCTTGTCCCTCTAATCCATGTAGCAAGATTTCTTGTCCCTCTCTTTTCCATGTAGCAAGATTTTCTTGTCCCTCTTTCCCGCTAATCCATGTAGCAAGATTTCTTGTCCCCTCTTTCCCGCTAATCCATGCAAGATTTCTTGATTTCTTGTCTAATCCATGTAGCAAGATTTCTTGTCCCTCTCTTTCCATAATCCATGTAGCATTTCTTGTCCCTCTCTTTCCCGCTAATCCATGTAGCAAGATTTCTTGTCCCTCTCTTTCCCGCTAATCCATGTAGCAAGATTTCTTGTCCCTCTCTTTCCCGCTAATCCATGTAGCAAGATTTCTTGTCCCTCTCTTTCCCGCTAATCCATGTAGCAAGATTTCTTGTCCCTCTCTTTCCCGCTAATCCATGTAGCAAGATTTCTTGTCCCTCTTTCTTTCCATGTAGCAAATTTCTTGTCCTTTGTAATCCAAGATTTCTTGTCCCTCTCTTTCCCGCTAATCCATGTAGCAAGATTTCTTGTCCCTCTCTTTCCCGCTAATCCATGTAGCAAGATTTCTTGTCCCTCTTTCCCGCTAATCCATGTAGCAAGATTTCTTGTTCTCTTTCCCGCTAATCCATGTAGCAAGATTTCTTGTCCCTCTCTTTCCCGCTAATCCATGTAGCAAGATTTCTTGTCCCTCTCTTTCCCGCTAATCCATGTAGCAAGATTTTTGTCCCTCACATTTTTTTTTTTTTTCAGATGAAACTGTTTACTATTTTAAAATTACGTTTTCTTTTCAATTGCAGTAGTAAAAATGACAGAGTTGATGATAATTCTGTAGTCAGAGCTAGAGGTCTTCCATGGCAATCATCGGATCAAGACATTGCCAGGTTTTTTAAAGGTCTTAATATTATGAGGTAATGTTTCTTTTGGAAGTCATATTTAAATTACTACTCTACGATGCAAGTTGTACCTTTCTGGCTCTCGGGCTAATTGTAACTAAAATTTTTCTCGTGTTTTCTTTGTAAATTAATAATTAAGTAATTAACTAATTATGCCTAAATCGATAATATGCTAACCACTTAATACATATGCCTAATTTTATTTACGTCACTTAATACAAAGTTACGCAGGCAGAAAATTGACAACATTCAATTCAAATATTTCTTAGCTTTTCTTTTTCTCTTTTTTTTTTTTTTTTTTTTTTTTTCTCTCTGTTTCTACATGTTTATATATATATATATATATATATATTCTCTTTTCTTTTCCAAAAAGCGTTCGCGCAGATTAAAAAATTACATTTCAACCTGCTTGACATTTTTAGTTTTCCTTTCTACTGAATCTCTTAGGGGTGGCGTTGCTCTCTGCCTCAGTCAACAAGGGCGCCGTAACGGTGAGGCACTAATTTGGTTTGAAAGCGAGGAACATCGGGATCTTGCTCTGAAAAGACATAAACATCACATTGGACAGCGATACATCGAAGTGTACAAAGCAACCGGAAAGGACTTTGTCAATGTCGCTGGGGGTAAGTTTCCATTTTTTTTTTTTTTTTTTTTTTTTTTTTTTTTGTTTTTTTTCACTCAGATCGGCAATTTTCAAAAGAAAACTGCTAAATATTTATCTGTTTTATTAGTCGGTATAAATATTTAGAAAAACCTGTATTTTTTTTTTTTTTTTTTTTTTTTTATACTCTTAAATGTGTACTTCCCACAACTCTCTCTCTCTCACATATACACACACACATCAGCGCCTTTAGTAATTGTCTACAGAAATATGTATATGCACAGAAGCTGAGTATCATGTATCACGTATTCAATTGTGAAAGCAGAATAACATATCATATTTTTATTACTTCAAAGCTCAAAAAAAAAAAAAATTTAATTTCGGTACTAAATGACCTATAAGGAGTTGATATGCTGTTAAACACTCAAAATATTCCCTTCTAAGGAAACTACTAATATTACCATTTTAGGTTACGCTACCTGTTTTGGTTATAAATACTAGTATCTGGTCTTTCCTCTGGAAAAGCTGAAAGACGACAGCAATTTTTACTATTGCTGCGGAGCTGATCGAGAACTTTCGAAGGTACTGAATTCAACATTTTCAAAAGGAATAAATTTCAACACTTGGAAGAATTTAAGTAATAACAAAGAAAAAAAATACTTGTGTACACGGATATAAAAAGCAAATAACATTATCGGCTTTGCTGAGAGATAGATGTAGATAATCTAATGTGGTTACTCGATGGAAATAATCCCCCGCCCTCCAGCAAGAACAAGTAATGTTGACGCTGCTAGATTTCTGGAGCAAAAGAGAAAGTTTTTATTGATCCATCCTTTTATAGTCCTGAACAGCGGGCATTTAGGCAGACTAGGGGGTTAACCCCGTACAGCTGTTGTACAGTAAATCATATTCGAAACTGTCTTCAGAATTTACCAAATTTCAAAGGTTATTGAACATAACCTTTCTCATAATAATTTGAACTATTTTTCTTTTATTTATTTATATATATATATATATATATATATATATATATACACACACACACCTAGTGAGCCAGACAAACCTACCTAGGTTTCACCTAAACGGATCGTCAGGGAAAGTTTGGCTAACGAGGCAAAGAGAAACACAAAAAACAACCTAAGTGTGTGGGGGGGGGGTAAATATTTACTCAACAAAAACTATTAAACTCTAAAACTGAAATTCTCAATGTATGTAGACATAAAAAAAATATTGGCTACTTAATTAGACGTTTTCTCGTTATTGACTTTCCACTGAGATATATATATATATATATATATATATATATGAGAGAGAATATAATTAATACACATAAAGTTTGTCACTTAGCTGATTGGTGTTACCTCCAGTAGCCCTACTCCAGGGTTTCGTAGACGAACCCTCCAACACTCCTCAGAGGTTATAAGCAATTGACTTTTTATACTTCTCGCTTTTTATTTTATATATGCACTTTTTCATTAGTGCAAGGTTGATTATTTGTTTTCTCTTTTTATAGTGTGCATTCGTGTGTGTGCCTATATTTGCACTTGTAAGGCACTATTCGACTTTGCTCGATCGGAGCGACCCTTCGTGGCCGAGTTGGTTTATAGCACGTCGGCTCTAACGACTGTTTCTCCTGCGGAGGAGACACGGATTCGAATCATGCAGGAGGGCGCATGTTTTGTTCTTTTTGTGTGTTCGGGGGGGGGGGGGCTCTTTTTATGATTTCTCCAATATTCAGACCTGTCAATATATATATATATATATATATATATATATATATATATATATATATATATATAAGCGGAGAGTCTGCTTTCAGTATGGACATCCACTAAAAAGTTTATAATAATATCAGTCGGGTTAATAATAAATCAAATAAAAATAATTCGATATTAAATCCATTACGTTATAATTATATTACGTTATAATTATATTATAATCTATGTATTTGAAAAAAATTCAATACTTCCATGGACGCTGTAACACATCGAGAATGTGTTCCAGGGACGCCATCATTTTCGTGGCACAAAATGATGCGGCACCATGTCTTATGTGATATTTTACGAAGCTGTGCTTTGTTGATAGTTGCAAAAACTTTCCGAATGGCACCTTTCAACAGATGGATATTCTGGTAACGTCCATTTGAAACTTTCTTTGATAATAACCACATAACGTTGAAATAGAAAATTATATTATATAGGGGTGACAAGACTTCCTAACCACCCTGTACATTCCTTTGCTTCGCCAGTTCTAACTTTCACGGCTTGGACCCGCCATGCCACCCACATTATAGCACATCCACCACACGCCCTCCGTGTTACATTGGTGAGAAGTGCCACTCGAACCGTTTCTTCTCGTGAACCACTGCTCTGTGGAACTGACTCCCTTAACCTGTTCAAGTCTAGGGTTAACCCTTATCTTCCCCCTCCTATCCGCGTAAACTGCCTATTAATGTAACCCTCTACCTCGAGTGGCTTCCGGGCCTTGTACAATGCGAGCCTTACTTTAAAATAATTCATTTGAAAAGTATTATTACCAAAGTGCTTTTTGTACTTAAAGAAACGACTCTCGTCAATGTAGGTCATTCCCATTTTGTTGTAGGGATAGATTTATCAGAAAAAAGCCGTTTTGAGATTTTATATAAATACATTTTTCTCCCCTCTTAGGAAGCAATCTTGAAGCTCAAGCTTTCCTCTCCAGAGGTGGCCAAGTGATTATCCGAATGCGGGGTCTGCCATTTACTGCTACTCTCCAGCAAGTGGTAACTATATTTATTTCTCCTTTCTTCGTTGCTTATTTCCGTTTCCTTTTATAATCAATGTCTCTTGTTATGAAACCAGAGTTATTAAAAGAAAAGGACTTGCATTTAACTTTGTTTCCACTAAGAATTCTACAAATTTCAATGGAAATTCATCGACTCACGCAGTTTTTGGTGTACATGATTTCACTTATCTTCTGTCAACACCTGGAATAAATCATTCCTAAATTTCACTCAATAATGGTACCAAATCGCAAGAATAGTGAGGCTGTCAATTCCAATATGTCAAAGAGAAACCACAATGTTTCCTTTAAGTGGAAGTGGAAAGTTAACAATTTAATAAGAAAAAAATCATGTGCTGACGTTGCTAGGATCTACGGTAAGAACAACTCTTGTAACCTATTTTTTTTATGGTATATTGTTATAATTATTCTGCTTTTTCTTTTTCATTTTTATTTATTTATTTTTTTTTTTTAAATTCTTGTTTAATTTATAAATTAAACTCTATCGTATGTATGTCTGTTTAATATATAGTTCTGTACTCCCCGATTTCAAGCATCTACGTGTGAGGGGGGGTAGTTTAAAACAAATACCTCGAAAAAGTGGAGGGGCACTTTTTTTTTTTTTTTTAACTAGCTAAACTGGTACCTCAAAGGATCTGTTTAAAGCTGCCATTATTATTTTCCCTTTATTAGCTGACACATTGTCAAGGTATTTACGTATCACGAATATGTAAGTTATCTTAACTTTCTGTAACTCTTTCCTTTTTAAAAAGCTCGGATTCGACACTACATAAAGTACAGACCTCCGATGAAACTTGAACCCTGAACTTCAAATCTCGGTGCTGGCTTGTTTGTTTTTATGCGATCCGCGCTGTTTAATTAACGATCATACGTTGATGAAATCTTAGTTGCAACCTAGTCATAAGTAAATAATGATTGATTTCTTGTAGTTCAAGAGGATGTACGAGTGATGAAGCGGATAGCAGCTCGGAATGAGAAATCGGAGATCAGAGTTCGATTTCAAGTCGGCAAATACCTTTTTAGGGAAATTATAAATCCATCTCCTTCCTCTCCCAGCTATGGATTAAATAGAATTTATATCAGGAAAATTTTTCTCGAAAAATTGTTAATGCAAGACTTTCTAGCAGAAAAAATTCTTACAATCCAAAATATTTTTCGGCTTTAAATAACTCACAAAGGGTGGATAAACCGTAAAAAAAACAAAAAAAAAACAAAACTGATCAATCAGTTGTAGTTTAAGACTTTGCTAACCATAACTGGATTTGAATTAACCCGGTCGATCCCAGAGGGATGAAAGATATGGGAAAATGTAAATTTTAGTTACTTTTTGTAAATAATCCCAATTTGTTTGATAGATAAATGTTTGGACCATCCCTAACTTGAATGTTGATTTGGTTTCTACGACTTATCAATTCTGTGCAGGTTATTTAAAGCCAGAAAAGTTTTAGATTTTTAAGAATTTTTTTAATTTTATAATGGTTTAGTTTTACTAATTATCCCATAGCTGGGGGGGGGAGAAGTGGTGGATTTATACCTTCCCCAAGGGTATTTTGCACACAAGTGAATATAACAAACCCAACGGGAAATGAAACTCTACTCTCCGGATTAAGAATTCTGAGCTATTATCCATTGCACCATCCGCACATTCAAACCTACAGCACATTCTCAGGCCCTCCTCTATCTAGGTACTGACTAGGCTCGATCGAACGGGAACCGGTATTTCAACATGATGTGGTCGTGCGCCCTAAAACTTCATTTGAGTTTGAGGGGATAAAAACACAAATCTAAGGAAAGTACTTATTGAAGGTCTCATTAATTTATCAATAAAATAGGAGGAAATTGCTAGTGCAAAAATCTGATAATGTTAAATCATGCGTATTTATTCAAAATAAGTAAACGTGTGTGTGTGTCTCTCTCTCACACACACACACATATATATATATATATATATATATATATATATATATATATATATATATATATTCTATGAAATGGATAAAGTCCGACAATTATTTTAAGACATTTTTATGTTTAACATTCTTTTTATAGATACAAATATTTAAGTAAATGCTCTGTTTATAATAAACAGTATTAAATAACATTTACTGGCCTGAATGTCCGAGAAATTTTCATAAAAAATATTCGTCCTCCGACAGGATTCGAACCTGTATCCTATACGGAACCATCATATCGCCTGACGTGCTTTTACCGATTTCGCAACAGAGGATCGATCGGTTAGCAAGGTCGATTTTACTGTATTTAAACTTCAATCATCCATGAATCTCTCACGTACATTTATGTCTGCTCATGGCGTATCAAATGTAAACAAATGACGCCACACATTATGAAATGGTAAAAGCACGTCAGGCTATATGACGGTTCCGTATAGGATACAGGTTCGAATCCTGTCGGAGGACGAATATTTTTTATGAAAATTTCTCTGACATTCAGGCCGGTAAATGTTATTTAATACAGTTTATAATAAACAGAGCATTTACTTAAATATTTGTATCTATAAAAAATGATGCTAAACATAAATATATATATATATATATATATATATATATATATATATATGGTAAGCGGAAAAACCTTTTATGTCGGCTTTGATTGAGACTTTTATCCAAGACAAATACGGAAATTTTATTGAGAAACCCTTTTTTTTATATATATATATATATATATATACACACACACACACACACACACAAATGTATCGTTGAGAAACGAAACGCGTTGGCATAAAAGGTTTTCTTGTCGTTTCTCGTAATAGTTAAGTCTTTGCAGATATATTTATTTATATCTGAATCTTTACACACACTTGTTTTAATTGGAAACAAGGGTCTCTGAGTGGGAAACCCCTTCTCGATTTGATATGTTGATAAAGCAATATGGAGGAAGGCACTGTATCTTAGTTTGTTTTTGCTTTGTTTTGTGTGTGATTTTTTTTTTTTTTTTTTTTTTTTTTTGTCTGGAGTACTTACTGATAATCGAACTCTATTAGATCGGTGATAATTACGTCATAGCAAGACACGTAGTATATTCCAGAGAAGTATGGGGAATGGTTCAAGAAATTAGAGATTTGATAAATGGCCAATTTTCTTGAGGCTTCTTTCGTGGAAGTATTAAAATCAGCGAAACTTTCAGATTACTTTTTATGCAGTTTTGACTGAATACCAACGAAAGGGATTAGCGCAATTTTCCTGGTTTCTGGGGAGAATTTGAACATGAAATTGCCTAATCTCTTCTGGTCGCTTTCGGCTTTCATAAATTATTGTAAAAATAAATAAGTAGGGGGTTGCGCGCTATAGGATTCGTGCTTTGCTTTCGTGTAAATGACAGCAAACTAGACTCATAGACCGCAACTCTTGTAAGGAATTCGATCCCTTGAGTGCTTCATTCATCCCAGCTAGCACGAAATAATCACGTTGCTGATATTTTTTTTGTTTTTGGTGGTGCTGGGAAGTCACGTTATATTATTGTAATATTGCAATCAACTTCCTTTCTGATCGGCAATTGACAGTCCATCCCTAATGAATGTTGTACAACCATTATGACGATGTTGGTTCCGAACTGCTCAATTATAGCATTAGAATATTTATTTATTTATTTATTTATTTTTTTTTTTTTTTTTTTTTTTTATGTACAGGATTTATAAAATTTACTTTCGTATTTAAAGAATAATTAATTTAAATGATGAATGCGCGTTCTAATAGCGTCCTTAAATTTATCCCTTTTCTGTTGACGTAGCTTTATAAGGCATCGTATTTCCAACGTTAGAAGTAATGTTGCGGGCAACTTGTTGATAGTCTACCCAAAAAAATTTTTGCAGCCTCTATCTAACGTTGTAACAATGTCATTTTGTTAGACGGTGTCGGCCTTGTCAAGAAATAATAGAAAAATAGTAATTTATTTAGTTTGAAAACTAGATTAGGATACACGAATGTTACGAAGCTGAAAACGTCAATATTGATTTTTATTATAGACTAGCAGTAGAATCCGGCGTTGCCCGGGGATGTAACCGTAAGAGATAGATCAAGTATCGACCATCATAAAGACTGAAAAATAAAATTGAAAAAGATTATTTAAGGTTAACGGACAAGCATGTCTTAATTAGTTTTTTTTTTTTTTTTTTTGTTTTTGTTTTTTACGAATTGGTCAAACTCAAACAAAAACATTGTTTTCAATCGTTATGAGTCTACCGATTGAATAGAATTTTATTATAAACAATTGTCTTGTAAATGGAATTTTTAAAGCATTCTGAATGTAAAATTAAAGAAAGTGTGCAAGACAATAAGAAACACTACCTGCCAAAAAAAAAAGTGAAGTTTTGTTGAAATCGGTTGAAAAATGTAGGAAGTCCGATCCCATATATAAACGAACACACACACTAAACAACCTGGGTTTTATAATAAGTATAACTCGATATGAGTTGTCCCCCTTTCATTCTCTTGACAGCGATGTCTCTTAATCGTGTTTTCAAATTGATTTCGTGCAAAAACAATTTTTTCCAATTTTGGGCGCTGTCAGAACCACCGCAAGGTAATTTTACGTAGTCCTGTGAAGTTTTGAAATCGGTTGAAAAATGTAGGAAATCCGATCCAATATTTAAACGAAAACACACACACACAACCTGGGTTTTATAATAAGTATGATTATGAAATTTCTAAAGTGATTTAATTTAGACAGTCACTTCAGAGAAAAAAAAAACTAAAGTGGAAAATATCTTCGTGTGACGCGTTTCATCGTTTAGGACTTCGTCGGACTAAATTGATGTTCACGTTAATGCGACAACATATGCCCATGAAGGAGAGGGGACATTGAGTTTTTTTGTTTTTTTTTTATTCATATTTATATAACAAAGTTATTCGAAATTTATGTAAATAATGTTTATCCTTATTGTATAAATCAAAGAAAATATTTAGTTTTAAGCCTTTATGATTTTAAAATATCTCCTACACGTTTATTTATTTCATCTAC